AAGAAAACCCCTTTCCAAAAAACCAAAAAAAAAAAAAAAAAAAAAAAAATCACATGGAAGCTTACTTTGTTGTAACCCAAATAAAGTATGTGCTGGACAGTGATGGCACACACCTTTAATCCCAGCATTTGGGAGGCAATGACAGGCAGATCTCTGTGAGTTTGAGGCCAGCCAGGGCTACAGAGAGAAACCTTGTTTTTACAAGGGGAGACTGCTAGAAGGAAGATGTGCTGCATGGCTAGTTGATACTGCTCCTGCTCCTAGAACTAGACAAAATTCCTAGTGCCAGTTGTTTGGTACTTCCGTGAGTCGATGGTCAGGGAGACCACAGAGGCCCCTACGATAACACAAGCTCTTGACAACCTGGCTGAAGTCAGAGTGCTCCCATCTGGCCACGTAGAGGTCACTGATCAGGCAGGCACCCTGGCTCAGGTAACTCTTCTGTCCCTGCTGAGAATAACCAATCACCAAACAGCTTGAGTTAAAGTCTCCATTTATTTCATTTTTTACAAAAATCCAACGTAAGACCTTTGTGCTCATGGTTTGAAAAGGGCAGACAGATGGACAAATTATGTTACCAGAGCCGCCCCAGGCAGCCCCACCCTCCAGCTCCATGCTCACTAACAAGGCCACCCCAGATAGGAGCATTGTAGGTGGTCCACTGGCCTGAGGCACCCTGGGGGACTGTCACTCTGTGGGTGGCCCTTGTCCTCAAGATAAAGAGCAACTGAAAAAGTTGTCCTGGCCCTGGAAGCTAAGACTAGGTAGCCAGGTGTGCCCTGTGTTAGGAGGCTGCACTAGGAAGTGACCCATAGTGACCTGCTTCAAACACCAGGCAGGCTCCCCATGCTTGTAGCGGGAACATCATGCAAGCATGTCCCCTAGCTCCCCAACCCAAAAGACAAGCAGTGTCCAACTGCTTTCTCTGCCTCTTGCCACAGAGAGTCCTTCAGATACAATCACTGTGCATATTTGCTGCTAGGGTCCTTCAGTTAGTGTTCCCACCAGATCCAGGGATGCTACCCCATAGGATGCTCTGACATCACCATCCCTGAAACACATTCCAATGATACCCATAAGTACCCACAACTTTCAGTGCTCTACAAAGGGGTTCTGCCATAGAGACCAACTTTCTCATTGGGTGCCATAGTGTCAATTTACAAGTTCCAAGTTCTCATAATAAAAGAAACAAGGTAGATAGGGATGAGGCTCATGGCAGAGCAATTGTCGGGATGCCCACCCACAGCTCTGGCTTCCACCCCCAATACTGGGAAGTAAAAAAAAAAAAAAGATACGACAAAATAGCAGCCACATATTTAGGAAAAAACACCACACTCTTTGGCTCCCCTGGGGGAAGAGGGCTACTGCTACAAGGAACAGTGAGAGGACAGAAAGCTGGGGTAAGGAGTCTGGACTCCTTTGCTGAGTTGCCAAGGACTAAATGTCTCAGGCAGCCAGCCCTTGGTGTAAGGTTCGAGAAGACACCAGTGGCACTCTGTAGCAGCCTGGTCCTGCTGGCCAGAGGGACTCACTCCCGGAGGCCATGCCAGCCCTACAGCAGAAGGGATCTCCAGAGAAGAAGTCAGGACAGCAGGCAGGAGAGGACCAAAGCAGCAGCACTCCTGTCAGGGCCTAGGAAGACGGGACTGGCTTAAGGCAAGTGCATGACCAGGACAGCCCTGAGCTCTGGTTCAGCTGTTTGAAACACTGTTCCATTTCAACCAGGTGGGGCATGAGCGACAAGTCACAGACTGAATCCCTGACACAACAGAATGCTTCTAGTTTCCTGCTGCCACCATACCCCAAATTAGCTTATTTCACTTTCAGCCCTGGGAACAGAACCATAGCAGGGAGTGTGGAAAGTGGTAATGGGGGGGGAGGGTGAGTGTTAACTCCCAAGACCAGACTAGAACTCTCCCAGCAGATCCCAGTCTTCAGGTTCTAGGACATCCCAGAACCAACACAGCATCAGGGGTCTAAACCCCATAGGTATGGGATGGAGTCCAGATGCAAGTGGGAAGGTGAGCTCACCTAGTTGTCCATTCCAAGGCATGTGCCTTGCTATGAGACTCTGGGAACTACAAAGGACACACAGGCTAGTTCTATACTACACAAGCTCCCTGCTGAGGCCTGCCAGCCTGCCAATTTCCTGTTGTCTCTGCTAGTGAAACAAGTACTATAGGAACTTGCCACCAGTGCCCTGCACCAGTGTCAACAGGAGGGTGAGCTAAAGGCCATTGGGCAGTACAGGCCTTATCCCTACCTGACTGTTTGCTTCCTTATTCTCTCTCAAACACGCGATGGTACGGGAGAGTAGCAATAAACCCAATGACAAGTAAGTGCTGCCTGACACCAGCCCTCAAGCCCGGAGCACGGCAGTCCCCACTGCGCAGCCTCCAGCAGGAGGGGAAGCTGTGTCAGCATCCCTGAAGCAACAAAAAGGGGTCAGAGTAGATCAGGAGATCTTGCCTAGGCCAAGTCCATCCTGCTTATTTCTGTAGCCAGTGCCACTGGGAAGGTGGGACTGCAAATGACAGTCCACGTAACAAAGGGTCAGGACCCTCTCCACTAAATACATAGCCAGGTAGGTCCCTCCCTTGGAGAGATTGGCAGAAATTTCAGGTGCACCCCCACCCCACCAAATATATATATATATGTATATGTGTGTGCATATATACGTATATACACGTATGTGTGTACATATATGCACACATATAAATAAGCCTTGAATGGCAAATGTGAAAACTCTCTCTTTAAATAATAATAGTTGTTATTGAATTTAAAAACCATGAATCAGCCATCCAGGCTTATGAATTAGTGACTCTCCTCGGAGTCCCCACAGTCCTCAGTGTTCACTATCAGTCAGTGCCCTGTGCAGAAGCCCTGAGTCTGTTGACCAGGATTGTGGGCCCAGTGTGGCTGACTTCAAGATAAAGACAGCTACCCCTTTCCACTCTTCCTGCTGCTTCCCCCAGCAAAGGGTCTGGGCCCTGCCCCACAAATGTCCCCAAGGTCCTTCAACACCTGGGAACCTTGGGAGCGACTACTCTGACTCTGCTCATCATCTCCTCAGAACTGGCAAGGCTCTAAATGAACTTGAAGCACTTGGTCTTGTCATGGGGCAGGCGGGTCTTGAAGAGCACAGAGTCCACCCTGAACTGTGTGTACAAGAGGGGCATATAGCCGTACACCTTGACAAAGAAGTTGATACATTTGTGCCGCTCATGGAAGTGAGAGTCATCATGGGACAGGGCCTGAGGGCACCCTGGGCATCGGAAAGTCCACCTCGACGTCACCTGGAAACCGGAGAAAGAGAGCAAGTGAGAACACAGCATGACTGCTCACAGAACTTTACAGTGTGGCCAAGCCAAGGCCATGTCCACAGTGAAGCTGCTGAGCCAATGGCTATAGCCATGCAGCCCAGCAGGAATGTATCCAAAACACTCACAGAGGGGTCTTTCCATGTCACCATATTTAACAGACAGCAAAGTCTTATATGGCCAATGTTACTGGTCCAAACAAGTCTCCATGTAGTATTTATCTAGGTGGCAGAGCAAGATGTTGGTACACAGTTATTTATAGCACCATAGCAAAATACTGGAAAACTAACCAAAACAGAAACAAATAATTCTATAATATTACCTAGCAATTAAAAAGATATTTAAGAAAATTACAGTTTAAAACATGAGAAAGGGGTTAGTATATCATTAAGATTTCCAACAATTAGAAAAATTTAAGTAACATGGTGTCACAACCACTGACATAGGTACTTGGTGGTTTGAACAGGTATGGCCCCATGGAGTCATGTATTTAAATGCTTAGCCTATAGGGAGTGGCACTATTAGGAGGTGTGGCCTTGTTGGAGTAGGTGTGGCCTTGTTAGACGAGCTGTGTCACTGTCAGGGCAGGCTTTGAGGTCTCACATATGCCCAAGCTATGCCTAGTGTGGTAGGCAGTTCACTTCCTGTTGCCAGTGGATCAAGATGTAGAACTCTCAGCTCCTTCTCCAGCACCATGTCTGCCTGCATGCTGCCATGATGTCTTGCCATAATGATAATGGACTAAACTTCTGGAACCGTAAGCCAAACTTAAACATTTTCCTTTATAAGAGCTGCTGTTGGCTGGGTGGTGGTGGCACACACGTTTAATCCCAGCACTCAGGAGGCAGAACAAGTGGATCTCTGTGAGTTTGAGGCCAGGCTGGTCTACAGAGCAAGTTCTAGAACAGCCAAGGCAGCAGAAAAACCCTGTCTTGAAAAAAAAAAAAAAGTTGCCTCATGGTGTCTCTTTACAGCAATAGAAAATTAACTAGGACAGTAATCCTGCACAAAGTTCTACTAGAGACCTGAGCCTGGGACCCAGCAGATGAGACCTGGGTGGAGGAGACTGACAAAGATGGTAGACAAAGGTTTTCTTCTCAAGCTCAGCTCTAATCAGAAGGGGAATGGCACACCTCTAGTCACAGCTGAGGACATCTCATGTGGGACTGAGGTAGGAATTTAAGCTACTTGTGAGTCCTACACACCCAAGATGCTTATGAAGCCTAAGCTGGTCTCAGACAGGCGGTGAGCCTGGGCATGGGAGGAAGGGCAAAACCCTATGCACATCAAACAACTTGTACACAGGAACAAGCACAAGGGAAGGACCTGCAGAAACCAAACGCAGAGGCAACAGGATGATGGGTGGCTGTGATGAATGTGTGTGCACAAGGAACTTTCCAAAGACACTCAGAAACCATCCAGACAGTATTCAACCTATGAGCATGAGGAGAAAAATCAGCAAGTGAAGGGCACTGAATTAGAACCCAGAATGGGAAACAAGAAGACAAAATTATGTAAGCAATATGATTAAGAGACACAGAAAGGTATAAGGACATTCATGGAAGTTCAGAACAGGCAATCCTGGTCCTGGAATAGAAACAGGACAGACTAAAACTCGGGGCAGAAGGAGACCTTCCAGTGTACGATGCATCAGTGCAGGTTCACACTAACATGTCTGTGAGTACTCAGGCGTCTGTACTGGCCTGCTCTTGGAGACCTGACAGGACACACCCTCAGCGGCAGCACCACCTGTGCCTATACACTAGGTTCCCTTTTAAAAGGGCCCTGACTTCCTCTCATCCTTCTCTCTCTCCCTCTGTCTCTCTGTCTCTCTCTGTCTCTCTCTGTCTCTCTCTGTCTCTCTCTGTCTCTCTCTCTCCCGCTCCTCCTATCCCCAGAGGCAGATTTCCCCCCTCAGCTTTCCCCTTTTACAATCCCTTTCCCTTAATAAAAAATAAAAAAAAAAAACCCTGTCACATGGAATCTTTCTCTCTCACTCAGCTTTAAAAAAAAAAAAAAAAATTACAAGTGTCTATACAGGAGAATGGAGGAATGAAGGGGTGGGCATTTCTATCATGTCACACCTCTTATCCATATATTTTAGACAAAATGTTTTAAATAAAACATCTATTTTAAGAGTAAGCTGCAATGTTTGGGGTACGCATGTAGACACACAAGTCTGGCCTCTTTACTCCACTAACCCCCTGCTCCTCTACAAACTCTCACTGAAGCCACAAACTCACGTCACACATGTGTATCACATAACCACTGTTTTCACTGAAGCAGTGGATTCTTCAAATTTTTACTTTTAATTATGTGTACATATGTGTGTCTGTCATGTATGGCTATGTGCACATGAGTGCAGTACTTGCAGAGTCCAGAAGAGGACATCAGATTCCCTGGAACTGGAGTTACAGGAGGTTGTGAGCCACCCAACTTGCATGCTGGGAACTGAACTGGGACAAAAACTGTAAGCACCACTTCAGAGCAGTGACCAGCAGCACTACTGTGATTTGCTGCAGCTACCATAAGCTGACACGAAGACAGCTGTGACTTCTTTTGGTAACAAAGCAGTTAATGCATGGACCCTCAGAAACCACAGCCTGCTTCAGAAGTGAAGGAAGAAAGATGGGAGTAAAGCTGTCCTATCCCTCACACCCCACAAGCCCCAACTCCCTCAGCACTAACCAGTGGCCTTAGTGCAAGGCCCCGTCCTTCACAGCCCTACCATCAATTAAGTAAGGGGTGTCCTTGTGCACTTTACAGGAAAGTCTGTGAGTGTGGCCTGTCACAAGCTGCATTAAGGCCAACCAGAAGAATGAAGTGTGCACACACACACCTTCCCACAGGCAACAGGGCCTACCTTGATGGGGGGCTTCCGCGTGATGTGGGAGACAAGGAAGTTCATTGCAATATCCTCACAGTTGATGTACTCATCCACCATATCTCGGATGGCCTGGGGCATCACATAAGAATACAGGTAGGCATAATACTGTCAGGGGAGAGAGGATCGTAATGCTGTTAGAAGGTCTTTCCATTTCAGCCACTGGCTCGAGGGGCTGTTGGGTCATGTGGGAAGGTGCCCAGAAGGTAGTCACAGTGGGGACACATTTAGGGATCAAGAGCGAGGAATGATGAGCATCTTGCAATGCAGATTTCACTGTGAGAACATCTCATGTATCAGCTTGCATCTTCACAGTCTACCAAAAAAGCCCTCACAAGAGCCAGTTCAATGGGTAGAGGAGCTGGCAAAGGCATTCTGTGAGGGGCAGTGGAAGTGACTTGCTCATTTCAGAATAGGGATTCTGTGGTGCTGGGAATGAAACCCAAGCCCCTTGAATTAGGACAGTACCCGCCAACCTTCAGAACAGGAATTCTTCAGAGCCCAGTTGAAGACTTCAAAAGGGAAATATTAGTCAAAAAAAAAAAAAAAAACATATAACACAGGGGCTGGGGTAACAATTCAATGGTTAAAAGTGCTTGCTTTGAAAAGTTAAGAACTGGAGTTTGGAACCCCAAAAACACACATTAATTCCAGGTAGGTGTGATGGCCTACCAGACATATCTGCAAGCTCTGGGGTTCACTGAGACCTTGGCTCAATGAATAAGGTAGAAGATGATCAGAGATTATCCCTGACTTCAGCCTTGAGCCAGACATACATACACATGTGCCCAAACACATGCAAATGAATCATACAATACATACATACATACATACATACATACATACATACATACATGCATACCCCCCACAGACACACACACACACATCTGGAGAAAAAAAATTTAAGTTTTCTAAAAAATAAATGTAGTTGGGCGTTGGTGGCGCATGCCTTTAATCCCAGCACTCGGGAGGCAGAGGTGGGCGGATCTCTGTGAGTTCGAGGCCAGCCTGGTCTCCAGAGCGAGTGCCAGGATAGGCTCCAAAGCTACACAGAGAAACCCTGTCTCCAAAAACAAATAAATAAATAAATAAATAAATAAATAAATGTAATATGAGCCTGTGTGGCATATGTCCTTATAAACATGTTGTTAAAACTCAAAAAGAACTGGAGCTGTCACTCAGCAGCAGGGCACTTTGCACACTCCAGCTTAGCTTTGGTCCCAAGCAGCACCACAAAAGAAAAAAGCCAGTTGCGGGATGGCCCATGCCTCTAGTTCCAGCACTTGGAAGGCAGAGGCTGGCAGATCCTGAGTTCAGGTTAAGGTCACCCTGGTCTATATAGTGAGTTCTAGGGCAGCCAAGGCTATGTAAAGAGACCCTATCTCAAAAAAAAAAAAAAAAAAAAAAAAGGAAGAATGAAAGTAGACTGCCTTACTTACCCCATTTATCTAAAACAATTGCATTTCAACAAGTAAACATAAAACCTTACGGCACTTCATAATTTCTCTCATTCTTGCTTTCATACTTTGTGTTCTTTATATATCCTAGCACACTGCAGCTCTGACCAGACACCCATTAAGAAGTCAGGAGCCACAAGAGGCCAGCGGTTATGTTGCAGATCAGAAGAAATGTAGAAAAAGGAGCAAAAAAGCATCAAAAAAGAGAGGTAACAGTGCAGGAAAGGCATGATGGCTGAAGGCACCTGCACTGTGGGTACTCAGTGAGTCCAAACTCTCATGTAAAGCACCATCTCTGGGAAGAAGTGGCAGAGCCCTTGGACAGAGGTCCACGGTGGACCTTGCACAGTGGCAATCAGTCTTAGCCAGAAGAGTGCCAGGCTCTGGCCTGACTGAGCCACATCTGGGGTGACCATGCTGGAAGTAAACAATAGCCAACAGGTCTTTTGGTCTTATGTGTTATGTGAACCCACTAGAGTCCGTTAACAGATTAGATGTCACTGCAATCCAGCTACTATGTCCTACCATTCTGCCCAGGGGAGATGGAGACCACTGCTACTTGTCCGGGCTCTGACCACCCAGGAGAGAAGGTAGCATCTAATATGTTCTGTATGAGTGACTGTTTATCCCTATCTTATATCTAAATAAATTCTTGAGACCCTTTAACAGATTCTCGTGGGTTCACATAACAAGTGGCACCCATCACCAACATGACCTGAGCCCAACGGCCTGAAGTAGTGGTGCCCTCTTCTGCCTGCACTAGTGCCCTCAGCTGTCCACAGAGAGCCAATGGTCTACAGGCAGTCCTCATGGTCCGCAGGCAGTCCTTCCTGATCCTGACTTTCAGTTACTGTATGCATGGTTTTTGTTTTGTTTTCTTGCCTTGAAATGGGGTTTCACTATACAACCTAGCCTAGCCTCAATCCTATGATCCTCCTACTTAGCTACATAAGCAGAAAGGCTTGTATGAAGGCATCATTCATTCTCACACAAGCTCACCCTTACTAAGCACAGACCACTCAACCCAGCATTTTCTTACCTTGTGAAAGAAGGCAGCACCTGTCAGCACCATGGACAGCTCACAGGAGTAGTTGGAGTTGTAGAGCCAGGACTGGTGAGGGATGTCCCATGCATGGTACCGGCCAGGGAAACCAACAATACGATCACGTGCCTCTCTCCACACACTTGAAAATATACAGACTTAAAATGAGCACTTTTATCTGGCCTGCTTTGACCCTTAGACTTTTTCCATTTTCCTTTATTTCGGTTTTTCCTTCTTTTTAAAAAAAGTCAGACAAGCAAATCAGATAAAAACTACATACACAGTGTCATCAATAATCTGTTTATCACCCCAAAAGTGTTTCTCCAGTGTCTAGTGGGAAGGTCACATGATAAGGAGCTCCAGAAGGTGACAATCTGCTAAGAATCAGGAGACAGCAATTCCTGTTTCTTTCATTTCTATAAAGGTTTTTAATAAAATGACACATCAGTTCCACAGAACATGTATGTAATTTCACTACCCTGAGTTCCTGTTCTTCCTGATCCAGAGGGCACATGTGAGAAGCACTCAGAGGCTACAGGTAACCACTGTGGTGAGGAGAACCCTAAACTGAACAGGGCCCAGAGAGAAATCCAATGTGTAATGCTGTCCACAGACCATTAAATGGGGGCATCTGTTAAATGCAAGAAAAATGAGAGAACTGAGCCCAGCTTTGAAAAATCTGAAGAAACATGTGTGCATGCATGTGGTCATGATGTACATGTAGAGGTCAGAGGACACCTTTGTGGCTCTGGTTCTCTCTACTTTTATGTGGGGTCCGGGAGCAAACTCAGGTCACTAGGCTTAGTGGGCAAGCACTTTTACTTGCTGAGCCCAGGAGAAACTTTTATATCATTCCCAAATCTATAGCTAAGTCAAAACAAATGCAATCAGTTCACAGTTTCACTGGCTGAAATTGGAGCTGAACGCATTTCAGTTCCAGGAGCTGGCAGCCACTAAAAGGCCTCAGAGACTGCAGCTGCCTGAGCTTTCCTGAGCTGCTTCAGGGCATTTCAATCCCTGAAACAGAGTCTGAGAGCTGCAGTTCTAACAGATGACAACTCACAACTTCCTCCACAAAATAGGGCCTTACAGGTTTCCTTTTTTTAAAACAATGGAATTTTTATTGTGGCAAAATGCCATCTTAATTTTTTTTAAGGGTATACTATCCAGTGGCATTAAAGACACAAAACTTAGGTCACCATCACCAACATATGCCTCCAGGACCTGCCAACCCTCCTGCACTGGAAATGAATCAGACTCCACGCTCTTCATGTGTGTGGACCACACAATGGCTCCCTCTCCCCTCTGTTTATACTTCTGACTGTAACATGGGATTCTGCTTCCAGTATAAAAGCTCCGCACAAACGAAGCAGTGGGTGTAGACAGAGAGGGACACCCAACAGGGAACCAATTGTTAGAATATAAAGACCTCAAAAATCTAAACAACAAAAATGAGCAAAGGAAATAAGAAGTACAAATGGTCAATAAATACATGGAAAACTGTTCAGCACCCTTCATTATCAGGACAACGCAATCAAAATTACCTTGAGGGTTACATTACCCAGTCAGAATGACTGTCATCAAGGAAACAAACAGAAATTCTAGTGAGGAGGTGTGGACAAGCAGGGCCCTGACACACATGAGCCCCTCAGGAGTTAAAGTACAACCTTTACTGAAAAGAATCCAAGTCAGCTTCCTACAGAGACAGGTTTACTGTGGCAGTCTACAGAGGCCCCAGGTGTCCGTCCATTCATAAGTAGATAAAGACAGTGTGGCACACAGACACAGGTACAAATAATGAAATCATGTCATTTTTAGGATCATGGATGGAACTGAAGTTCATCATGTGATATGAAATAAGCTAGACTTGGGACGACAAATATGTTTTCTATCATGGGCAGACACTAAGGGGAAAAGGACGTGAAATTAAAAGTAAATGGGGATAAAGGAAGAGAAGGGCATAAAGGATGAATACGCAAATTACAACCTATGGAGGCACAGAAATGTCACAATGAAGTCCCTAGCTTCATACGACTGATATAAGCTAATATATAAATTGATAATAAAACCTAAACAAGGCACACTGTGCTGGGTGCGTGTGCCTTCCACTCTGTGTGTCTTCCCCTTCCTGCCTACAGACGTTGGCTGGGATTTATAAAGAAAGTGTGCCAGTTCAGTTCTTGAAGGCTAAACGCCACATTTTGAATGGCTGCTAGGAGATACACTGAAAGGGATTCTCTATTTTTCTCACCATTCAGAAAAGGTCAAAAGCTACAGTTGACAAAGTAGGCTGGCACCTTCAGCACCTCTGTGAATTCAAACTTCTCAGAGCTGGGACTCCTTTATCTCAGTCATTCTTGGGACAGAACCTAGGAGTGACTGAACACATCATGGTCACATCCATAGCTCCTAGCCCCCTCAGCAGGCCTTAAAATCAAAAATACAGCCATTTCCCACCATCAACACCTGCAGTGGCAAAGACCATTCCTGGAGCTCTTCTAGGCTTTTCTCCTTTCATAACAGGGAGAGCGACAGCTGTTAATTACCATGGACAACAGCCCAGTTAGCAGGACGTTCCTTTTTCAATCTCAGTTAGCAACAGACTTGCTTCAGTAATCCACCACAGAAGGGGGGGTGGTGGGCAGCAGACCTTCTGTCAGAAGAAAAGATGCTATTTCTGTCACCTGCGCCTCAGCTTCAAAAGGACAGAATGGAAGACAGAGGAACTCCATGGCAGTGGACTCCTTCCTTCCTGTGCTTCTTAAAGTGAACTGCCTAAGATAAACTACAATAAAAATGGTTTTGTAAATGCTACTAAAAAACACAAAATGACAAATTAGAATTCATCAAAATTTAAAACTTTGTGCTTCAAAGAATGCCACAAGGAAGTACAAAGATAGCCTGCTTCGTGGAAGACTCTGCTCGTCTCTCTGACATGGAATGTATATACACTTACATCTAGAATAAGGAGCTCTGATAATTCAGTAATAAAGAGATAAATAATCTGTGGTGGCCATTCTTGACTGTCAACCTGATTACATCTGGAATTAACTAAAATCCAAAAGTGGAGAGGCACACCTGTGAGGGATTTTTGCTTAATTTGAAGAGGGAAGATCTTCTGATCTGAATCTCTGAGGTGGGAAGACACACCTTTAATCTGGATCTTTTGAGCTGGGAAACCCCTCCTCTAATCCTGCCTTCTGCAGGAAGCCTATATACGGACATGGAAGAAGGAAGTTTTGCTCTTTACCTGCTTGCTGTCTCCTTGCTAGCAAGTCCATTCATTCACTGGCGTGGAGGCTACTTCTTTGGGATTCCAGTGTATACTGAACCGTGACTGAGCTACTGGATTCTTGGACCTTCTGATGATAGGTAGCCAATGTTGGACTAGCTCAACCAGAGCCTGTAAGTCACTCTAATAATCCCCTTTTTATATATGAGAATTCATTCAGTAAGTTATATTACTCTGGAGAACCCTGACAATACACAATCCAAACAAAAATGGGAAAAATATCTGAATCAACATCTCTTCAGCAAAGGCATTCAAATGGTCAACTAATCTATAAACACTTGAAGAGACACTCAACATGATAGTCATTAGAGAAAACAAATCAAAACTGTAAAGGGGAACTGAGGAGATGGTTCAGTCCATAAAGTCAAAGCTGACTTCTGGCCTCCAGACATATCTGCATGTGCACACACAAATCTATCTTGAACTACACCACTTCACATCCACTTAGGATAGTCATAAAATGAAAACTCAGTAAATATATGCATTGACAAGGATATAGGTAAAGTGGCATGCTCACTAACTGCTGGAATGCAAAATGGTGCAGCTACTCTGAAAAGTAGTTTAGCAGGTCCTCAAAACATCAAAGCCTCCACCCTCTGACCCAGTAACCCCACAGCTGGGTATGGACCAAGAGAAACACTCCTGTCCAGACATGCGCATGGACGGGCACAGGACGGCACTGTGCTTCACTGCCAAATGTTAGTGTCACCACCACAGCTACTGCTACCACTGCCTCCTCCTTCCTTTTCCTGTTAGACCCCTGTGCTCTACCCCAATTACATCTCAGGGGCCAGTGCTCTGGCACTGTCCCATTCCTCAATAAACAGTCCTTCGTTCCTGCCATCATCTAGAAGTTGGTTCCCACTCCTCCAACACAAACCTATTTCCTCATCTCTTTTCTCAGCTGAGGCAGCTGGGTTTAAGGATGACAGGCCTTCAGGTACAGGAGAAGCAAGGAACCCTGGCCCAGCTAGTTACAGACTCCTATCTCTCTCTGGCCCCAGAGGAAGAACCTCCTGGGATCAGAGCAGTCCTGAAGAGGATAAGTTAAGTCAGCCAAACCACTAAGACAAGGGACCAGCCCCATCTCACGATAACCTGACAGCCTCATAGTTTCTCCTCTGCTGTCAGCTGAGAATTTCAAATGGGTCTTTATCACTTTCACACTGAAGTGTTTGAAAATCTGTCCCTCACCGAAACCCAAACATGATTTCATCATGGCGGAGGTGAGCGTCGTCATCGATGGACAGTATGGCCTCTGTCTCGATCTCATTCCAGGGCAAGAATCGATTGTTCAAACTGTTCTTCTCAGTACGGACAACCTGAAATGAAAGAGGAAAACACACAAAACAATCAATACTACATCAAAGAATTCTCAAAGTGACTTTAGTTCCAATCTTACCAACAATTGGCCTGGTGGCCTGCCACTTGCTTGTGACATCTAGCAATGTGCCTCTCAATGAAGCTGCCTCCCATTCAGGACATATAAGAGGGTCTCACGCTAACCATCACATCAGTCATTGTAAATTGACTTTCTCATGAAACAATCACTGAGGATTATTTTATACAATGAAGACAGTCTAGGAGACTAAACATGTTTCCCAAGAGAACATAAAGTAGCAGAGCACAGCTGAGTCCAAGTCCTAGAGCTCAGATCTACCCAATTGCTCACAAACTTTAAAAGGACACTTAGAAATACTTCTGAGTACTTCTTAGAAATACTTCTTAGAAATACTTTCTAAGTATTTCTGAGGCTGATCCCTCCCCCCCACACACACACACACACACACACACACACACACACACACACAAATCTGATGTCTTTGGGAGACAAACCTTTTGAGAAAGGCTATTATGGAGCCCACAGTGCTAACATCTACTATCTCCAGTGTTTACTATAAATACAAAAGCTTTTTCTTTCTTCATAGGTGTATGCACACAGGGCTGATTTGTTCTGATGCTCAGGGAGGCATCTGTGCTGGGTCTTCAGACAGAGTGTAACTTTGGTAGGACAGAGTGTAACTTTGGTAGGACAGAGGGAAAATGTTTTCAGTCAGGAGACTTGGCTGAGATCACTGCTATGTAGACTTCTAGACCTGGGATACACTTGCTACTTAGTGTCAGGAGGAGGTCATCCTTAGTGCAGGGAATATGGTGATGGAAGTGAGATGACCACCCTGGCTTTCTGAGTCCCTGTGACATCCTCTTTGCTTTCTCAGAGTAAAATTATGCTTCCTCATTAGTTGGACTAAGGAACTTGTGGTTTGAATGAGATGTCCCCATAGGTCTGGTTCCCAGATGGTGGCTGTCTGAAAAATTTAGGCAGTGTGCTTGGCTCAAGGAAGTGTGTCACTGGTACATGAGTTAAGAGTTTACACTTGATGGGCACGGTGGCTCACGCCTTTAATTTCAACACACAGGGCTGGAGAGATGGCTCAGAGGTTAAGAGCACTGGCTGTTCTTGCGAGGGACCCAGGTTCAATTCCCAGCACCCACATGGTGGCTCACAACTGTCTGTAACTCCAGTTCCAGTGGATCTGATACCTTCACCCCAATGCACATAAAATAAAGTTAAATAAATTTAAAAAATAATAATCCCAACACTCAGGAGGCAGAGGCAGGTGGATCTTATGAGTTTGAGGCCAGCCTGATCTATAAAGCAAATTCCAGGACAGCCAAGGATGTTACACAGAGAAACCCTGTCTTGAGAAACCACACAAACACACACACACACACACACACACACACACACACACACACACGTTTAGACTTGAGTCATTTTGAGTTTACTCCCTGCTTGTGGACCAGTATGTGATCGCTCAGCTTCTCCCCAGCTGCCATGCCTGCTCCTGTCTTGTTTCCCTGCCATGAAAGACATAAGCCCAAATAAACTCTTCATTCTAGAAGCTGCCTTGGCCATACTCTTCTATCATGGCAAAAGAAAAGTAACTACTGCAATACTATAAATAAGGGAGTTATCACAGTGCCAACAGTGATGTCACTGTGACTTGCTCCCAGCTCCGCTGAAGGTGCACTGTTACCTGAGGGGAGGGATGTTAAGGTATTTCTGTTGGGTGCTGCTGTCAGTTATGTAGAGAAGACTGCTTTGCACATCTGCCTGATTTTGGAGATGGTTGTTGAGTTGGGATTGGCTGAAGCCCCTGCTCTTCAATGTCTCAACCCCTGGTCTGCTAAACTGCTAACTTTTTTTTTTTAAGATTTTATTTATTTGTTATATATACAAGGTTCTGCCTCCATGTATGTCTGCATGCTAGAAGAGGGCACCAGATCTCATTACAGATGGTTGTGAGCCACCATGTGGTTGCTGGGAATTGAACTCAGACCTCTGGAAGAGCAGCCAGTACTCTTAACCTCTAAGCCATCTCTCCAGCCCCCTAAACTGCTAACTTTACAAATGTCTTCAAACTAAAGCCACGGTGGAAAATATATCATTAATTCCTGTTCCATCACAGAAAATGCCGTCAATTACAAACATATGTGAAGTGACAGATTAGTTGGAGTGCTGCTTTACACAGGCCACATCTCCACAGGTGCTCCAGCCTCATCAACACCAAGAAGGATCAAAACAACACTACTCCAGATATCAGAACCCAGTAACAGACTCAGAAATTGACTAGCCCCAAGCATATTTAACTGCAAAAAAAAAAAAAAAAACAAAAAACAAAACAAAAAAAACAGCCTGGTTTGTAGCCAGTGGTCTCCTAAGCTCAGATTCAGTGGTAACAGAACAAAGAGGCTAAGTTCTAGGCCAGGAAACAGACTGGCTATTTAACAGGCAGAGATGATCAAACTGAGTTAAAGAAAAGCAAAAAGGGACCGAACTACACTCAGGAAAGAGAACAGAACACATAAGGGTTACTGCTCAGTGGTAAAAGGCTTGCCTAGAGTGTGAGGTCCTGGCTAGGATGCTCGGTGGAATCAATGGACACACACACACACACACAAACACACACACACACACACACACACACACACACACACACAGAGCCAGGAGGGAAGCCACCAATGCCTTATACTTTGTTCCCCAGGGAACAGAAAGTTGACAGAAGTGGCAGGCCCAAATGCAAGTTTAGTGATGGTAAAATCCCACTGATGTTAAGATGCTCTCGATTTCAGAAATGTTACCACATAAGATCATGTGACCACCTGAGAAGGTAGAACAGGGTGACTGTTCACTCAAACTGCCTCATCATCCATTCACTTTCCTAACAATCCTTGCATCCACTCAAAACACTGTAATTCTGCTAATCCTGCAGAACACACCCCCTCCTCAGCCCCAGAAGATATATACAGAGAAATTCAGCCCCTCAAGCTTCTCTTTAAGACTATCGGTTCTGTAAATTAATTCCCTGCATGATTATTTACAGACCCTGAGCACTTGGTATGACTCAAAGCCTAGCTGCAAGGACATTGCCAGGACTATTGGAAATAGGACCTCCACTTGCACCAGTCAAAGCTGCATTTCCCAAGAGCCCCAGGAGATGGCTCTGCACGGGTGCAAAGAAAGCAGCATGGCTATGGAGCCTGTCTGAAAAGCAGAGCAATTCCACTCAACCTCTGATAGTGTGAACCTGGTGATTCCTTCACTGAATCACTACAATACCCTGTTGTCTGCTGAACCTGGAGTCAATTACCAGCAAACAGCCAAACTCTGAGTCCAAAAACAAGAACAAGGCAAACTGAAGTGATGAGGATGATCTGGGGCCCAGAGCACAGACAGAAGGATTCATTTGCAAATTGCAGTTCACAGTGGGGCTCCTCACTCTCCCTTCCCCACTCCACCTGAGACAGGGTCTCTCTACATAGTCCTGGCTACCCTGGAACTCACTATGTAGACCAGGCTGACCTCAAACTCACAGAGATTCACCTGCCTCACCTCCCGAGTGCTGGAATTAAGGGCGTGTACTATCACACATAGTTCTTTCCTTATTCTTTAAAAGACCCGAGTAAGGCAGACCACAAAGCTGGGAATTAGCAGCAAACAAGATCTGGCCTGGCTTCACAAGCAAGTTTGTGCATAAGTTCACTGAATTCCATCCCTGGGATGTCTGTCAAGAAACCCAAGAGGGAAGAAAGGGGAAAGTTCTGATTCAGAATCCCAAGGGGGAGATTTCACCTTTAACCCCAGAACATGGGAGGTGGGAGCAGGAGGAATGTAAGTTCAAGACTACATAACAAGTCCCGGGCCAGCCCAGGCTACGTAAGACCCTGCCTCAAAACAAAAACAGATGCTGGCTTCAAAGCTATAGTGCTTAATCACTAGACTGATGCTCAGCAACCAACCATCGTGGTTTGGGCTGACAGAAAGACTCAGTCATTCCTAAACCCATGTGCACACAGATCAACACTGGCCTCTACAAGTTTGAGAAAAGCATCAAATGTAAAACAGGTCAACCAGAAGAACTTAGTAACATCCACATTTTTGTTGATGTTTTGTTTTAAATTACAACAGTAATCCTCCACTCTGACCCACACACACACAAAGAAAAAAAAACCCTGGCTGTTTCTTCATGTTGTGCCTAGAAGGCATATTACAGATTTTCTGTTTACACTTTGCTAATTCCAAAGTTACTGCTTTAATTATGAGGCCGGCACTGAGCAGAAGGAATAGCACATAGTGCCAGCACAGAAATGCCCAGTACTCGTCATACAGACAGTGGATGAGTAAGTGGGTAAAGGGGAACGGGAACAAGACAGCCCTGCAGTTTCCAGAATATGACAACAAACTTGTCAGCTTTACAGGTTGAGCACTCAGCATAATAAATATTAAAGAATGATAATGAGACAAATTAGGAGACCCATTAGTATTTGTTCTGTTTTATTTTTTCTTCTCGCTATATTGTTCAGGCAGGCCTTGAACTCAATTTGTAGTCCAGGCTGGCCCTTAACTTGAGTCCTCCTGCCTCCACTTCTCGATTGCTGGGATTACTTGCATGTGCCACCAAGTTTGACTTCTAACCTTGCTTTCCAAAGGGGGGGGGGGGAATCTACCGACCTGTATCAGTCAAGTTGGAGCAACTCTCAGTAACAATTGCTTGTTTCACAGAGCACACTCCCAGGTCAGTTGGCCATCTGACACCATCCTTCACAGAAGTCTTGACTCCCGTCACATCTTTCTTCCCAACACAATGCAGTGGGCCAAGGTGGCAATCCTAGCCTAGAACCTGCACTGCACTTGTCATTAAGATTACACTAACCGCCTCCAGCCTCTACCAATGTCACATGCACAATGCATTTCTGTATTGTGTATTCTGTATTCTGTATTCATCTCAGGCCATCATACAGAGGAGAGGCATAAAGAGCAGCTGCTTCCTCTAACTCAAAGCAAACCACAGAGCTCAGGAATGAAGAACATGAGGCCTAGGAAGCTGCACCCAACGTCTCTAACATGTGAGCACCATCATCAAAGAACTTGAGGCCACAGGGGCACTGGCTCGCTCACTCACTCACTGAACAAATGGGAGGAGCCAAATGTAACAAAAGCAAGGGGGTGGGAGTTAAGAGTAACAGTGAGCTGGTTTTCATTCATAACTTTAACTATGAGGCAAATGCAGCACAAAAACAGTACATGTTTTAAGTAATGAGATAAGCCTGTTTGAACTTTTAAAAGCTGACGAGTCCTGTGAAAGCACTAGTAAAACAGCACAAATTAGAGGGTTAACACTGAAACAGTTAGCAAGCTAGGATTGGTATGCACCTCTATCCCAGTGTGCAGAAGAGCAAGGTCTGGGTTACAAATGGCAAGTTCCAGTCCTAACAGCAAGCCTCCGCTTTCCAGCCATCAATACTGCTCAAAGTTACTGCATCTTGAGACTTGCAGGCCTCGCCTAGCTTGCTACATGCTTTACACAGTTATTTTACAGTTTTAATTTTATATATTGCATATTTATATTATTTACTCATAAGCAATCTTATGCCTTTCCAGAAAATTTGGGCTTAGAAAAAAAGAAAAGCTATGCATTAAATTACAGCTGGAAATCCTGACACCTACTTCTTCTACTTTGGACATCAAGGTGGAAAACCTACTTTGAAGAGCATTATAAACAGAACTGTTGCTGGCCCTGACACCTGCCTCCACCAAGGGTCAGCAATTTCAACTGCTGATCTAAATACCTGTTTCGCTTAAGCAGGAAGCACAGTCAAAATATTTAGCCAAGTAGATGAAATTCTCTGACTGGAAACTCTTTCCTTTTAAAAATAACTAGAAAAGACTGCATGCTACTACAGAAAGTGTTAGAACCGTCCATTTGGAGAATTCTGGCATTTCTAGCTAGGTATCCTATTACTGCAATGGGCTGCCCAGAAATCACAGGGGACTACTCATTTCCCACCAGATTAAAGAAAGGATTAGTTCTGCCAAGTTCTCTGGTGGATTTCAGTCATCGCTTACTGGAAATAGGAAGCCAAAGCTGCTCTCCCATCCACGTATGAGAAAAGCTGTCGCTCACAAAACAGCACACTTATTATTTTTTCATTAAAATTTTAGATTTATTCATTCAGGTGGTGGTGGCACACACCTATAATCCCAGCACTCAGGCAGGCAGATCTCTGTGAGTTCGAGACCAGTCTGGTCTCCAAAGTGAGTTCCAGGACAGCCTGGGCTAAAACAGCACACTTTAAAACAACTCAACAACACCTGTCTTAGCCACTGTTCTACTGCTGTAAAAAGACACCATGAGCAAAGCAAATGTAATAAGAGAAAGTATTTAACTGGAAACTTGCTTGAAGTTTCATAGGGTTAAGTCCATTATCATCATGGTGGTAGGGCAGGCAGGCAGGCGTGATACTTGAGGAGTAGATGAGAACAAGGTCCACAGGCAGAGAGAGCAAGATACTGGGCGTGGTGTGAAGCTTGAAACTTCAAAATCTAATGTAATACACCTCCTCCAAAAAGGCTTCACTCCTAATCCTTCCCAAACAGTTCATCAACTGGGGACGAAGCATGCAAATATATAAACCTACAGGGACCATTCAAATTCAAACCACCATACCTAAAACTAACGAACCTAGAAAAGATGCACACTTTACTTGGGGAAGTCTCTCAGAGAAATCTCCCCATTAACAGTATACATTTAAAAAAAAATCACATCATGCTACTGCTGCTCTGAAAACATTGCAAAAGTAGCCGGGCATGCTGGTGCACACTTTTAATCTCAGCACTCAGAAGGCAGAGGCAGGTGGATGTCTGTGAGTTCAAGGCCATCTTGGTACATAGTTAGTTCCCGGGCAGCCAGAGCAAACTATATAGTGAGACCATGTCAGAAAACAACAACAAAACTGAAAGAAAACCTTTTAAGAGAATGGCTTTTCCAATGATACAAACTTTTTAAAAACTGGGCTAGACCCAGAACCCCTTTCTAGATAAATCATCCCCAAAAAACTGATTCTTCTCAAGCACATATCTAGTAATGCACAGCCCACCAGACCTTTTGTCCTTCTTCGTTCCTTTTTTCCAGAAAGAACTCACAATGCAGCTAAGTGCTTGGTGGTCTTAAGACAAGAGCAATGGAATACATCTCTCTCCCAGATGGCTAAAGTAGTACTGTAGGCAGACATGCAGAGTCCTGAGAAGCCACACTCTCCTCTACACACTCAGTTAATGTGTCCCCTGTACCCATGACTCAGACACAGCGAAGCATTATACAGCCTGCAAAATACTCTGGAAAAGAAGGTTCAAAATCTTCAACTCTCAAATATCAAAATCCGAAACACCAGCCTTCCAGAGACTTCCGCCGTACCCCAGGAGAAGACCTGTGTCATTTCTCAGTCCTTTGGGAGTGACTGAGATGGAAGCTTCTGGACTTGAACATGCTTAAGCATAGTTCCTGTTACGCCAGTCTTGGCAAGAGCTAGAGAAGAGAGATGGAGAGACTACACAGTGCCTACTAAGTGCCCTAGGACAGCTTTCTCTTACTACTATCATCAGTATGGAAGATGCCCAAAGGATAACAGAGGGTGCTTTGTGAACCTTCATGGCTACAGCATCAGTTCCTATTGTGGAGGCACCAGGGGAGACTTAGGACATGCTGGGCAATAATGGAACCAGCATAGCCTGAGAGGCAGCAAGCAGAAACTTCACGGGAACCTAGAGGGGTTCATAAATAAATCGATAAATATGCTATGCCAGCATGTAAAAGGCCCTGGGCTCAAACCCCAGCACCAGGATAGCACGAGCATGCACACGTATGTGTACACACACACACACACACACATACACACACACAGAGAGAGAGAGAGAGAGAGAGAGAGAGAGAGAGAGATGTATATTCACCTCTGCTACTAGTGAGGGAACAAAAGTGATAAAAGCTAGAAAAGGCATTAAGTGTGTGGTACTATTCGGAGCAGTAAAATGTACTGCCCATTTCTATTACCATGATGGGAACACCAATGTCTGGCCACAAAAGGTCCTCCGAGGGCAGCTTGGGAGAGTTCCACACCACCACTACCTTGTTCAGGTAGGGGAGGCCGTTGAGTCTCTCCAGGGAATTCATGAGTACTTCCTCCCGCTCATAGGTCAGCATCACAACTGTGAACTGCTCGCGCTGGACATTGCCTCCAAGTGCTGCCTGGAACTCCTTGCCAGAGCCCCCGGCCCCACCACCAATGGGCCGAAATCCAGTCCCTGAGCCCAGGAATTTGGCCTCAGAGGGCAGCACGGGGTCAAAGGGTGTGTGGGGGAAAAGATGGAAAGGCCCAGGTGCAGAGTTCCAGCTACGGTAGCAGTCTGTGACAGTCAGAGTAAAATTGCGGAGGTATTTAGGTGAGGCATAGGGTGGCTCTGTCTCTACTGGCCCCAAGTCCAGGTCCCCATTGTCAGCCATGTTGGGGTCAGTTCCTGCTGCTTTTCCTGAACGGTGGGGGATCTCAGCTGCTACTTCCTCCCGGATGGGAGCAGCTGGGATCTGGATTCGAGTCCTAATCATGGCCAGCACGGTATTAAAGATACTGTCAGCAGTAGAGAAGTAGGTCTCCCAGAGAAAGCGGCCTTGCCGCCTCATAGCCAACAGATCACTGTCTGAAAGACTTCGTAACAGGAAGTGAACCTCTGTGACACGTGGCTTGGGCACCACCAGGGCGGCCTCATTCCACTCCAGCATGCCATGGTACGGGAGCTGTACCTGCTGCCCCAGTACAACCGGCACAGCTCCCACTTCCAGGGCTTCAAAGAGCCGTGTTGCACACCCAGATGAAATAACCAAGTGTGGGTCCCCAGGGGTTATGATAAGGGCAAAGGTGGAGAGCTTCAGCAACTCTAGGCGGTCTTCCCGCTCCCCACAGAGTGCCCACTCAGTAGGCAGACTGGGCTTCGGCTGGTTTTTGCAGGTAAATTCTACCAGCACCTGATCTAACTTGCTGTCCTGTACAGCCTTTAGGGTGGCAATGATGCGGTCATCATAGTCAGCTGGAGGGTCACCCTCCATTTCTTCCTCGAAGGAACGGGCCTCCTGAAGGCTAGATCTCAGGGACTCGATCTTCTCGCCCTGGAAAGTGAAGAGATATTTCCGCTTAACTGGCACCTGCGGTGGGATTTCCATGAAGTTGGGTTCGGACATGGCATGGACAAGCGGTGACACTACCAAATCAAAGCCAGGCCTGTACTGGGCAGCATAGAATGTGGACTGGGCCACCATGGCCCGGCCTGTACTGACATTGTACAGTAAATTCTGTGTGTCTGACTTCCGGGACAGGTTGATGATGACATGGTTGTGCCCATCGGTCCTCCAGTGTGGCAGAGAATACAACTGCTTCTCAAGGTCGGCAGGTCGCACCACAACAGGCTCCTGCATTTCTCCCACTAACACCACATACAGGCAGGCAATGGCTGCATTTTCTGTAACATAAACATTGGCTCTCACTGTAGCCTGAAATGCCTGCTTGACCAAAGGGTCCAAATAGCTCCCAAAGGCAAACTGGTCACTGTCATAGACATAGACAGGAAAGCCAGAGGTCAGAGGACAGCGAGAGTAATCAAAGCAGTTGTGTAGCCGGCAACCCCGAGTGACTTTGGGGGGCGGGAGGCCAGCATCATCCTTCTCGGGGAGCAGTCGGATGGGCAGGGACAGTTTGGGCTGGTTCTGGGCCATCAGCTCCTTGTAGGAGTGCTCTGTCTGGCTAATGACATTCTTGAGCTGCAGCAGGTCCTGCTTCGCATTCTCTATGCTCTTCTTACAGGCTTCAATCTTGAGGTTTAGTTTGGCGATTTCACTGTTCAGCTCCTGCCGCTTGGCTTCTAGCTGTAGAAGCTCTTCACTCACAGACTCACGAATCCGACAAAGATCTAGAACATGCTTTACCTCACAGAGCTCGTTGCCAGCCCGAGGGCCAAAGATGCGCTTGCCAGCTTCATCTGCCTCATCCAGAGTGGTGAGGTAATAGTGAGCAATGAGGGGGAAGAAGACCAGGATGATGAAGAGTGTGAAACTCAGCCATGTCAGCCGGATGCGGTTGGACCAGCGCAGCATACAGGTCTGACCTCCATTCCCCACTCCCCCATTTCGCAACATGGTATAGCCTGTCATGAGTTCTCTGTGGCTCTTGTCCACTCTGATCACGTCGGATCACTCGCCATAACCATGAGTTTGTTTGACAAAACTCAACCTCTTTTTCACACACAAGTTTCTGGAAGCGTCAGTGTGCTCCCTGCACAAGGCACCAAATAAAATGGAAATTTCATTTTCCTCAGCTGTGACTCAGAAGGTCTCTAACCCTAGTCAGGCAGATCCTAAGTATTGGTTGTTGTCATCAAATAGAAAAAGGTACCACATGACTGATGGGATGAAAAGGAAGAGATCCATGGTGTTAAAATCCAGGGGGAAGGCCCTGGGCTCGGAGGGACCGTTTTAACTGCCATAAGCTTTTGTTCCTTGGCTTTGTTGACCAGCCAGTATGCATAGCTTCTATTCGAGTTATGTAGTGACTGGTAAAAACAGCTGGTAGTTTGAAATGCCAGCCCTGTTCTCCATGTCACTACCAACAATCAGGCCTGCAAAAGAAGGAGAATCTTGTCAGTCTTGAAAAGATTATGTTCAAAGTTCCATTACCATCCCACATGCCTGCCCCAGCACAGTGGTTAATACTTGAGACCTGGGCATCCCATGAGATAAGGGGAAGCAACATCCATCTAACTTTGGTCCTCTCCTAACATGAAGGTCTCCTTGTGAACTACTCAACAAAAACAACTCTGAGAAGCTCAATTTGTTAAATTTAGAGTTGAAAAAGAGTTAAGAGAGCTCTTTTGAACTTCACCCAGAAATAGATAAAAGGTATTTTCCAATTTGCCTCTATTTATCTTCCATTAGCAGACACCAGGCACTCCTTAAAATAGAAATAGTAACCTGGTCTTTCAGAGAGGAACAGTATACGTAGAAATGAGAGGTATCATCCTTCATCCTTTAAGGATGGTCCAGACCTATTGTCAGCCCTCATATTCAGTGACCTAATCTTGTAAAATGGAGAGATGTGCATGCAGTAACAAGGTATTATCCTGCTATGAAAATAAGAGGATGTGAGGTACTGAAACTCATACATCCTGACAGCATCCCCAGTTCCCTCACCAAACTCTACAAGACCAACCTATGGAAGCTTTCTACCTACATTCCCTTCAAACTGAAGTCAAGTCACACTACTCTATGCCAAAAACATTCCATTTCACCCATTCACTTCTTCACACAAACAAATTCACAGCCAGGGAGAATAGCACATCCATTCCAGGTAGCACTCAGGAGGCTGAGGCAGGAGAATCTTGAGTTCAAGGCCAGCTTGCACTACACAGTAAGACCCTGCCTCAAAAAAAGCATGGCTGAAATGTATTTTTTGTTGTATTTGTTTGTTTGTTTGTTTTGAGACAGGGTTTCTCTGTGTAGCTCTGGCTGTCCTGGAACTTACTCTGTAGACCAGGCTGGCCTCGAAACTCACAGAGATCCACCAGTCTCTGCCTCCTGAAGTGCTGGGATTAAAGGTGTATGCCACCACTGCCCAACTGCAGTCTAACATATGTTTTGCCTAGAATGTATAATAACCCTTGACCTCATCAAACTTCACATAGTCTAAGAGACAAGATACAAACAGCTGCAGAACATCTGTCTATCTTGTCAAATCTGTGAATTTAATCCCCAGAAGGGGGAAGGGAGATAGTAAGAAAAACCAACTGCAGGAACACTTCTACAAGGCAGTGGACTGACTGGCTCAGAGGCTAAGCCACTCCCAGCTTCCATCTTTGCTGCACATGTACAACTGTTAAAGTCAGATAAGGTCTTTTCTACTCTTAGGTAAAAACAAAAAGTTGATGACCATTTTACTAAGGTTTAAGGAGAACAAGTGATCAGGATGACAAAGAGTAAAACAATCTACCCTTGAAATATGAACTTTGGATAATTTAAACTTGATAAAGAGGGGCTGAAACAATGGCTCAGCAGTTAAGAGTGCTCACAGCTCTTGTAGAGGATCCAAGCTTGGTTCCCAGCACTCACAACCACCTACAACTCCAGCTCCAGGGGCTGCAAAGCCTCTGGCCTCCACAAGCACCCATGCTTACCGCACAAATCCACACACAAACACATGATTTAAAATAAATCTCTGGGGCTGGGTGTGGTAGCACCCTTTTAATGCCAGAATTCATGAGGCAGGGGCAGGCAGATCTCTCTGACCTTGAAACTACCCTGGTCTACATAGTGAGTTTTAGGTAATGCAGGGGTATTTAGTGAGGCCCTACCTCAAAAAATAAAAATGAAAACAAATCTCCAAACTCAGATAAACAGTCGAACATCCCACATCAAGACCTGTATTTCTTTGTTTTGTTTTGCAGACAGGGACTCACTATGTAGCCCTGGATGTCCTAGAACTCACTCTGTAAACCAGACTGGCCTCAAACTCATAGATCCACCAGCCTCTGCCTCCCAAGTGCTAGGATTAAAGGCCTGCACCATTATTACCGACTCATGACCTCCGTTTCTAAAGCACCCACATTATCCCTTTATTCAAATGTTTGTGCTTCTGCTGTAGTGATGAGTAAATAACACAATAGAGAAGCCAAGACAGGACCCAGGCCGCGCAGCCAGTGCCTTCCCCGCTCACCTTACTCCGCACCGCTCTTCCTTTCTCTTTCTTATGTAGTGGCATTATGCTTCCACACATGAATCTTGAAACGGTTGACACAGAGCTTGCTCTCCTGATTTAAAGAGAAGATGGAAAGGAACTGTTTGAAAAGTGCTCACTACTGAAGGTACTGCTAATAAAGACTTTAGTCTTTCTGAAAAGGCACCCATGCAGATTCAGCAGTCACCAAGCAGAGCTGTTTGGAATGAGCAGGTACAACTGACAAACACCAAGACAGTGGAAGACTTTTTCATAGGCAGTTGTTGCTTGCTAAGAGTGCTGGAGAGTGTAAAGCAGAAAACTATAAGATGTGGGCAGGATACAAGGACTTTCAGAGCTCTTTGTAGGTGAGATGATGTTTTACACCTAGAATGGAGTTTGGGACAAATGGGGCAGATGAGGAGCACCTGGAGGCATAAATGAACCAGCATCAGCCGTGAGCCAGGTGTGCAGGCATACCTGTCATCCCACAGAGAGGAAGCAAAGGCAGGAAACCTTGGGTTCTACACATCCGGGCAACAGTACTCCCAGTGCACCCAACATACAAGCAGAGTTGACAATGGAAATAAGTATCTGAATGGAAACAAATGCCGATTCTAAAGAATTTCATCTACTAAGTTCTATCTTCTCCACCAGCATGAGCTAATTATGTGGACTCTGCCTCCTAAACATCGACCTACAGTTTTCAAGCATGAAAGGGAGAGAAACCCTTGAACTCTCATGTGATCTTCTCTCATCTAGAAATAAATGCCAACACAACACTTAGACGAGTGATCTTCAGTGTTCTCAGTGCAGGCAGGTGCACTGTGCATCTTTCTAACCCTTACCCGCTGCAGCACCAGTGCCTGCCACCTGCCCCAGCCCAGCCCCACTGCCCCCATACACTGCAAACTAGTCACTTTCTCCCTCCCGTAGGAACGAATGCGGCCTCTCACTGCACTGCCCCCCCATATCCAATTTAGCCCTCACCATGCTCCCTGCTCATTCAAATTGAGCTATACTGCCCGCTTGCAGTTCACCCACCAGACCACCTCATCCTTGCTGCTCTCTCTGAAATATTCTGCTTTTCCTGTTGACTCTCATCTTCTTGATGCTCTCACTTTAAAGTTGCCTTTCTTAGCCCCTGACACTTTCTGAAATTAACCTACTTTCTTTTTCTTCTTCCTCCTCTCCCCTTTCCTTCCCTGCCCATCTCTTTTCCTCTTCCCACCTCCCACACTAAACCCTATCCCTGACAGCAGGACCCTCGTCTGCTCAGGCTTTGCTGTGTCACCACTGCAGCCACTGTGAGTTAATGAATGAGTTGTGCTCAGTTCCTCAGTTTCTTCCTTTAACTTCTACGGAAGGACAGTTTTAGTATCCCGCCCACATCTTTGACTCATGTTCTTTTTCTGTCTGGGGGACATCCAGTCTTCCTCCTACCTCATACTTAAAAGTATTCTGGAAGGCTCTCAGCATCATCTGTTAATGAATCCATCTGCTTTCATGATGCCAGGCATTATCTAGAAGCTACGCCCTCAACACTTGCCTTGCTGCTCTGGACCCTGCCTCTCCTGAGGTCTTCAGTCACTTCAAGGACTTCATTTTCCAAATAACTTTTAGTTCTGTCCATAATTCCACATTCCTCCAGTCAGAAACTATGTGCTATATTCAGGAAAGGCCACACTTTAGAGCAGCTAGCCCTCGATGGAACCCCACAGTTAGATGCCCATTTTACCCTGAGTTTTGTCAGAAGTATGACAAAACTCAGAGACAGCATGTAAGCACTGCAGACTGGCTACAAGCTTCAGTTAGTTTTCAATCTCCTGCTCCTATGTCTAAACCTGGTCTCCTGCCAATCTTATCATTTTTATTGCAATCATAATCATGATAATACAGTTTCAATAATGGTTTACAATAATTTTTACACTTTCCCCTTTTTAATTATTATTCTGCCTTTACCCTAGTTCTAGCTCACAGAAACCATAGTCTACCAACTTATCCTGTGTATTACCAAATTAGGGTTTATTTTAAATCTCACTTAGGGTAAATGTCCCTAGCCCATCCTTTAACTCCCCAGTCCACTCTTCTTCTACATCCTGACTATGACTGCAGTGCATACACTGATTTCAGAAACAGGATTTTTTTAGGTTCATGTCACTTTCTCCCTATTTCCATCTTATTTCATATATTTGCTTATAAGAATTAAACTATTTTTTAAAGATTTTATTTATTTATTATGTATACAACATTCTGCTTCCATGTATATCTCTACACCAGAAGAAGGCACCAGATCTCATAGATGGTTGGGAGCCACCATGTGGTTGCTGGGAATTGAACTCAGGACCTCCGGAAAAGCAGCCAGTGCTCTTAACCTCTGAGCCATCTCTCCAGCCCAAGAATTAAACTATTAACCTGGAATGATGACAAGTGCCTGCTACTTGGGAGGCAGAGAGGCAGGGGGACCACTTGAGTTAGGAATTTAAGACCAACATGGACAATGTATGCAGACTCTTATCTAAAAATAATTAAAATTTTAATATGATAATACCAAAAACTAAACCACCTGTGGTCTTATTTTTTTTAAGGTTTTTTATTTATGATATATGTAGTGTTCTGTCTGCATGTACCTCTACAGGCTAGAAGAGGGCACCAGATCTCATTACAGATGGTTGTTAGCCACCATGTTGTTGCTGGGAATTGAACTCAGGACCTCTAGAAGACCAGCTAATGTTTCTAACCACTGAGCCATCTCTCCAGCCCCACCTGTGGTCTTAATTTCCACCATGCCGTCATCCACCATGAAGGCAACACAGCCAAGGGGCATTTGCCAAAGTCAGTACTATGTTTTCTGAATGTTCAGCCTCAAAAACTATGAGCAAGATCAAGCCATTCAAAACTCCAGGAGGATGGGCAAGGACCTCATGAAGTCCCACCCCTAGCTGAGGTGCTTGGGCAATGAAAAGCTGCTGGGACAGAGATCAGGAAAATGGCCCATGCTTTGATGGATGGCCTACACCCATGCACAAGAGGTCAGCACTGACTGGACTCTGGGCTATGAAAAGAAGGAGCATGTGGCGGGGGAAGGGGGGACTGGTAAGATCAAACATATGGTATATATGTACGAAATTACCAATAAACAAAAAAAACTGGGAGCTAAGTAAACCTCTTTATTTTCTATATTACTCAACCTCAAGTATTTTGTGACAATAGCAGAAAACAGATTAATATAGTATTATAAGTAATCTAGAGATGGTTTAAAGCACAGAGCACGGGGGTTCTCAACCTATGGACTGCAACCCCTTTGAGGGTCAAATGACCCTTTCATGAGGTCACCTAAGACCATCAGAAACCACAGATATTTATATTATGGTTCATAACAGCAAAATTACAGTTATAAAATAGCAAACAAAAATAATTTTAAGGTTGGGGGTCACCATAACATGAGGAACAGTATTTTTTTGTTTTGTTTTTTGAGACAGAGTTTCTCTGTGGCTTTGGTGGGAAGATGTGGAAAAAAAAAAAATATATATATATATATATATATATATATATATATAGATATGTGGAACTATATATATATAACTATAATATGCAAACATTATACCATTTTATGTAAGGAACTTGAGTGTATGCAGATTTTTTGGGTTTTGGTTTGGTTTGGTTTGGTTTGGTTTTTCAAGACAGAGTTTCTCTGTGTAGCTTTGTAGACCAGACAAGCCTCGAACTTATAGAGATCCACCTGCCTCTGCCTCCTGAGTGCTAGAATCTAAGAAGTGTACCACCACCACCCAGCTCCGACCTCACTTTTTAGGGGGAGGCTTCTTACCAAACTTGGAGCTTACCATTAAGCTATACTGGCTGACCAGCAAGCTCCCAAGGACTCTCAAGCCTCTGCTCCCCAGCACAGATGCATGCCTGCATGTCACTGCCTCTGGCTCTTACATGAATGAGCACTGGGATCAAACACAGGCTCTCTTGCCTGTGTGGAAAACACTTTACCAACTGAGAGATCCTCCCCAGCCCAATGCTCTGCTGTTAAAAATCTAAAAAATTTACTTGTGGGAGTTTTATTTGGAGAGGAGTTTGTTCTGTGTTGCTGAAGATTCTTTGAACTTTCTGAATCTTAGCGCTCCTGTTGCTCACTAACCTAGAAATTTATTATCCACAGACTCTGAATATAGTATGCCTCTCCACCCACCCCCTTGAGTTTCTATATGATACCTGCCAGAGCCTATTCCGGCCTCCATACCTTCTCTTCTCTTTCATAACTTTCACTTTGCCCTTTGTGCTGCCTTCTGGCAGATTCTTTTTTTTTATTTAAAGATTTATTTATTTATTATGTATACAGTGTTCTTGTCTGCATGTGTCCCTGAAGGCCAGAAGAGGACACCAGATCTCATTACGGATGGTTGTGAGCCATCATGTGGTTACTGGGAATTGAACTCAGGACCTCTGGAAGAGTAGCCAGTGCTCTTAACCTCTGAGCCATGTCTCCAGCCCCTGGCAGATTCTTAATATCTGTCTAGGTTAGGAATTGGGAAACTTTCAGCAAAGGGCCAGACAACTAATGTTTTAGCATATATGGGAGTCACATACAATATCTGCAGCATATTTTAGTCTTTTAAAAAGGGGGGAGGCTCTGGGGAAATGGCTCAGCGGCTATCTTAACCACCATTGCTCTTGCAGTGGACCCAGGCTCAGTTCCTAGGACATCTGGTGGCTTACAACCATCTGTAACTCCAGTTCCAGGGCATCCGATGCCTTCTTTTAGCCTCCACGACACCAGCTGTGCATGCATGTGGTACACACATACACATAAGCAAAATACTCATACACATAAAGTAAAACAAAGCTTTAAAAACTTTGTCAACCCTTTTAAAATGTTGTTCATTCTTACACTGCACACTATGAAAAGCAACACACTTGCTGGGCACAGTGACACACACTTTTAATTCCAGCACTCAGGAGACAGGGACAGGTGGATCTCCCTGAATTCAAGGCCAGCCTGGTCCATAGTGAGACCCTATCTCCAAAAAAAAGAAAGAAAGAAAGGGAGGGAAGGAGGGAAGGATGGAGAAAGGAAGGAAGAAA